CCCTCCCCCCCGAGCTTCAGGCTGTTTCCATCTGTAAGATAAGGATAATTGGTCCTTCTCTTTTTGTATTACAGGGTTGTTTTGGGCAGTGGTGGTAGTGATTTTTAGTTCTGGAGCAAAGCTGTAATTCTTTATTTACACTTCACCCAACAGGAAGAATATGAATTACAAGCTTACATTTGCGTGCAGTATCTATATGTGAGCTTACTGGGGCACCTGATATGATGTACGTACTACAGGTGTTTTGTTATCATAATTTTTGTGCTCTGACCTGTGATAACTCTTGATGGGATAATTTACTTTTACTGAGGTCCTTTATTTCCTGCTTCATAAAACTGGTTACTGTACACATGAGTATAAGCCGACCCAACTATCAGCTGAGGCACCTAATTTTACCACAAAAACTGCATTAAAAATGTGCTGAAAAACTCAGCTTATACACGAGTATATATGGTATTTATTTTTCTGCAAGCATCCAGATATGCGCAAGATAATACAAGGGTACTTCAAAAAGCTTGTGGAAAAATGGAAATCAAAGGAAATGAAGTTTTTCCGTAAGCATTCGGGAGCCTCCTGCAGGTGTCGCTTTGAGGACTAAGGTGCACCTGACATAGCCACTGGCATTTTCCATGGCTCCTCTGCATGTGCAGTCTGGACAGCGAGTAAGAAAGACTAAAGAACGAATGACTTTGAATTACGTTGTTAGCCAAGAATATTGACTATTACATGCACCACTAGAAGAATGAACAGATCTTTGTTGGAAGCCGGACAGCCAGAATGTTCCTTAGAAGCCAGGATGGACTTCATCTCGTGCACTCTTAACGTGCTGCCCGGAGGGACTAGTCTGTGGAGAACGACAGTGAAGGCGGGTAGACCCTCGCCAGATGGATGGCTCCAGTGGCTGCGGCAATAGTTCAAGCACAGTAATGACTGTGAGATGGAGCAGGATAGGAAGCCCTTCCTTGCCATGAATCAGAACTGACAGAGCGCACCTAACAACAGAGGAAATACAACTAATAAAAAAGCTAAATCAAGTAAGAAAATTTGGCTCTACTAACCTTGAGCTATGTGATCTTGGAAACACACAATTTCTAAGGCTCAATTTTCTCATCTTTAAAATTGGAATACTTTACTTGCTTCAGTCATACGATAAAGATATACAAAGTAACGCAGAAGTACAATTTTATAAATCACAACGTGTTTATCAGCCATCTTAGACAGGCTTACTTAATAGATCAGATGATCTTTAAAGATCACTCCTATCTCTAACATTCTACCCTTCTTTCAAAATGAAATGTGCTCCCCTTTCTGCTATCAGAAGATATTAGCAAAACAGTTAATTTTGTAGAAACGAGAGACTCAAACAATATTGGTCCTTGGAAAGTTCTCAGCTAGGTCAGAAATTCAGCTGCATCTGAGCTGAGGAGGGACCTGGTTGGTGAGTTCTAGGGCTTCCTTCGGCCGTGCTAGCCATGGTAACCCCATGTAAGGAAAATACTGCATTAGGGTACAAGGACATAAAGGCCCACCGATGAAAATGGCATCTAATGCTCACCTTCCCGACACAACCGCTGAAGACAAAGCTGGTGAATAAGCAAATGTGGTGAAGCTGATGGTGCCCGGCTATCAAAAGATATAG